TTTTTAGGAGTCGCGGCAGTAGAGGCGGCGCAACTATAACGACATGTGAATAATCCCGCCCACTCTAAAGCGATACTAAACTGCAGTGAAAATGCGAACCGAGCCGTGCCGTACCGTACTGAGCCGTACCGAGCCGAGTCGTACCACGCAGTGGAAAAGCACCATAAAGTGTCCAGTCCTGTTCCCGGAGGGCCAGCTCCAGCCCCAATTAAACACGCCTGAACCAGCCAATCATGGTCTTTGGGATGACTAGAAGCTTCCAGGAAGTTGTGTTTAAGATTGAAGGAAGTGGCCCTCCAGGAGCAGGATTGGACACCCCTGTCATAGTCCTAATCAACATCCACAGATGTGAAATATGGATGTGCCGTAATATCTGAGAAGCTCGTATCTGCTAATACAGTAGGCTTGTTGGCCAGTGCACATCCGAACACAGCGATAACACAATCTCAAACTGCGGTGACATGGCACTGTTCCCCGTGCACAAAGGGAGGCCAGGCGGGAGAGGCAGACATCTGGCACCACTGTCCGTTGGGCTGAGAGCACTCAGGCAGCATCTCAGTGACGCTCCTCAGACAGACAGCCCTCCACAATCACACTGGCTCCTTTCACGCAGCTCGTTCTCAGAGGAGATTGAGTTTCTGCCGGGGGCTGATGAATGGGTGGCACTGTTGGGTTGAAGGGGAGAGTGACGTCTGCTTTCAATGAACTGAACATGGATGACTTGACTGACGGAGAGGGTTAGAGAACAGGCGAGAGTAGAACGGGGCTCATCTGTCCAAACTCCATGAACTCGGGTGGTTCTTTAATACTCACAAAAACCTGCTATTTTACCACTAAAGTGGGTGCATTATTGAAAAACGCATTATGTCGATTCACTCTAACATTCACAACAGAGCTGGAGCCTCAATGGCGACGGCAGCACACAGAGGCGATACCGAGAGAGATGGAGATGTGTAGTGACCTTTCACATTGCCCACCGTTCATCGGCCACACTGAGCGGGTGGGCAGGCGATAACCCACTGTTTGTTTCCGATTTGTTGTGTTTTGCTTTCAGAACAATACTTGATATAAATATGAGGTTGTTTGTGGTTTTCAACCTGGAATACAGAGTCCCTGACGTCCCACACACAAACCACTCATAACTACATCATTAATGGATAAAATGCACTTGAGTTACTACCACATGACCCATAAGTCAAAGAGATGACAGCACCAGTGTGAATAATGTAGTAAAGAGTAAAACAGTAAGGCAATCGTTGCATGATTGATTCATATCACGGGGACACCATAAATGTGATCCACAGCACAGTCCATTTAATCAAACTAAACTTCATAAACATCTAGTTCAGAAATTGTGGTTATGACATCATGACCATAAGCTCCATAACATATGACCACCCATACTGACACATTACAGTCGCACAATATTCGGCAACGTGTCAGGGGGGTTGTTCTGCATCTTAAAGGTACAGTAGCAAAAACATCCTGTTTAATTCTACATGTGCGGTCATATTTTTTCTAACCACATGTACTCTGTAAACTCAGCTCGCAAGGGCCTTGAATGTTCTTGCACTAATTGGTTAGTTTACGAGGTGACGGCATTGTTTCACAAGTCGAAAAAGCAATGGAACAACCAACTACTGGAGACGCAACAACAAAAGTTGCCTGCATTGACAACATGCATTGGCTTTAGACATATGCTTTGTTAGAGCTGGTTGGCATGATGGTATATACAGTATTGTGACGATGGTATAAAGTGTCTATCGTTTGATATTTTGCTATATTGTTTATTTCGCCATATGCAAATATATCCGTGTAGCACAGTACCACTTAAAAGTGATTTACATGTAAGAGTGATAAAGAAACATGCATGAATAAGAAAGTAAAGAGTGGGACTTGTTGGATCTTAAACATCAAACAATGTAATTAATTGCAGTAAGCAGTGAAAATGATCTCAACTGACATAAACCCGAAGCGCACACAGAGAAAGCAGTCTCTCTCAGACAGCATGTGATCACACATTCGGTTCTCTTTCACGTCTTACTGTGCTTGAATGGTCAAATACACACACAGTTATGTCAAAATGCCTGTCGTGTAGAG